GCTAACAGGACCACACTGCTAATAGGACCCAGCTGCTAACAGGACCACGTTGCTAAGAGAACCTCATTGCTAACAGGACCACTCAACTAATAGAACCCAGCTGCTAACAGGACCATGCTGCTAATAGGACCTGGCTGCTAACAGGACCATGCTTCTAAGAGAACCTCACTGCTAACAGAACCACTCTGCTAACAGGACCACTCTGCTAATAGGACCATGCTGCTAACAGGAGCACTCTGCTAATAGGACCATGCTGCTAACAGTAACAGTGTTTTTACAACACTATTTTTACTTTAATTGCTTTTTATTGCTGTATATTGTTCTCTGTTCTCTATATGTTGTTTGTCTAAAACAGGTCTCTCTTGAAAATGAGTCCTCATGACTCAACCTGTATAAATAAAGGTTAAATAAAATGAGGGGGACAGAACGCTGGATCAGAACTTCTTCCTTCTTTATCTTTTGGCGTTGTTAAAACACACCCTGAGGTGATGCTCGTGGACCTAACATTTAAAGAAGAAGTCTCTCAGCTCAGAAGGTTCTGTCAGTTCTGCAGACGGTTTCTTTAGAAGCTCCTGCCTGGTGGAAAGACGAAGCTTCAGCTGGAAGAGAGTCACAGAGTGATGATAATTGGATAGCAACAGCTGAATGGGTGACGTGTCGGTGGAGCCGTCGCCCCCTCGTCTCTGCAGTGCAGCTCGTCGGACCTCCTTCAGCGCTCGCCATGGTTACCTGCAGAGCAGAGAGGAAGCTGCTCTCTGAGTGGGCGAGCGGCTCTAAACGTCTCTTCACAAAGCAGGTAGATAAAACTGATAACAGGCCGAGGGCCACAGGGGGCATCATCTGCAGGTCCCAGAAAAACATCACTTTAATTCTGTTCCTCTTCTTTCCACAGCTGCTCTTGTGTTGATTTAATCTTTGAGTTTCAGGTTTGAAACAAAAATGCAGCTTCAGTCATGAAGAGCAGGTTCACTCAGACATTTAATGATTTATTTAAACAGATCTGTTTCTGGGAGCTCTCAGAAACAGATCTGTACGATTCTACAACAAACTTTAAAGATTACTTGAACGTGAATTTACAATAAATTATACACACCGGCTCAGATATGCTGCTGAAGGTTCTACAAGGTCTTTTAACTTGACAAGGCCAGTTAACTTCCTGTTAGTGATCATGATCGACTGCAGCTGATTGTTTCTCTTTGCCATTATGAAAACTGTTTGATTGACAGCACTCATTGGACTGAAGGATACTCTAATGTTCCCCTTGGAAAGGAACTGCTTCACCCTCCAAGACTCAAGCCTGCCCTGAACTGGAATCTGCTGGAACACCCGTGTCCCTGTCCACAGTGAGAACAATTCTAGATCACCATGGACTAAGAGGACCAAGGAAGAAGCTCCAAAACCTTCAAGCTGTCCACATGGACAAGACAAATGTCTTCTGGGCAAAGTTTTGATGGTCATACAAGACAAAGACTGAGCTGTTTGGACCCAAAGACAAGAAGGACATTTGAAGGACTCAAGGTGAGGCGTCCATACCTCAGACCACTGAACCAACTTCCAGGCACGGTGGTGGCAACATCATGCTTGGGTACTGAAACAAAGAAAGAGGACGACTACCTGCAGATTCTTCAACTTCCTTGCAAACCAACAGCTGGACAGTCGAAACTTAAACACAGTTGAGTCCAACAGGACCGTGATCCAGACACACATGAGAACTGGTCTCTGATTGGATACACCATCAGAACTGGTCTCTGATTGGATGAACCATCAGAACTGGTCTCTGATTGGATGAATCATCAGAACTGGTATCTGACTGGATAAACCATCAGAACTGGATAAATCAGACTAGCATTTAGCTTCTGGACTGACCTCCCCAAAGCACCAACCTCAGCCTGACTGAAAAGTACTGGACTCTGTATTCAAGATAGTTCTGCAATCAGAAAACCATCCATTTTAACTGAACAGAAGAAGAAGAAGAAGAAGAAGAGTAGTCATATATCATCCAGAACTCTGTCAGAACCTTGAACAATTTTAAACTTAAAATGATAGAAAACAAACAAACAAAAAAAGTTTAACGTCACATTCTTCCAGATTACGAGGAAACTGGTCCAGCTCCAGAACGTTGAAAAGAAAAAGTCGATATTTTATCTTCTTCTCGTTTTCTTCATTTTCCTCTCCGTATCCAAGATAGTTTAGAAGATAGATAGAAGTTTCAGTGTGCGTTTTTGACTAAAATGAGGCGTTCAGGGACAGTCTGACTGGATCGGGGGTTCTAACAGCCCTTACCTTGTGCTGCGATGCTCCAATAAGAGATGGAGTTGTTACAGTGAGACTCCAAACAGGATGTGCTGTTTGATCAGGAAATACCTGAGGCTCCACCTGCTGCAGGTGAGCCATGAACAAATGTTTGCCCACGCTTTGACTCCCAGTCTCCTCTGACATGAAGCTGAGGAGGAAATCAGCAGGACATTTGGAGAGGCTTTCATTTTACTTCACTTTGCTTTTAAATGTGCGTAGAAAGTTTTCTGAAGATTTCAGTTTCAAAGTAAAGCTCCTAAGTCAAGTTTGAAGCCATGTTTGTGTGATGTTCACCTAAATCTCTAGTAAACACCAAAAGGAAGAACGTAATGCACTCAAAGATTTATTCAGCCTTTGGTAATCTTCACGCTGGGTGTTCCTACTGTTTACCAAGTGGGCGGAAAGAAAAGTTTGACTTGATGACATAAACAGATAAAAAAGCTAAAAACTAGCCAGCTGTATCCATCCGAATAGATTTTTCTGCTTTCTTCAAGGTTTTGCATTCAGTTTGAAGCTGACTCACGCAACTCTCTCTTGTGCATTCACAATCGCCCACGGAAATCACCGACAAACACAAACTCACCCACAATCCACTTCTGTCATTTAACAGGGTCACAACCCACACAGAAGGGGTGCACGCTCTGATGGGATGCAGGGTTCAGTTTTTAAGCAACAATCATCAATGCTTACTTAAACACAGAATTTAGAAACAGACTGCGGTTTAGTTCGGTTCAGTCACTGTTCGATTGGTACCTCAGTATGAGGGTCAAGGTTCGGTATGTACCTTAATACAAGGATCACAGTACCATGGGCCAAAGTCATAAATGCTTTAGATAGCTTCCTCTATTCATTTTGTGGCACTAAGCAATAAAGAAATGTGATTTATGCTTTTAGATGATTATCATGTTTTCTCTTTCTGGTTTCCAAGATGTCTGTACCTTGGTTTGGAACAAAAACAGGGAACTTTACAAACTCAGCACAAACAAAGTTTTGTTTTGTTACCTGATTTTGTTCAGTCATTGCCATATGTTATAAAGTGAATCAAAGTCTTTATTTGAATAAAACCATATCTGGGTGGAAAGAAACACAATCTTCTTGTGTGAATTGATTTAGGTTTGAATAAACTGGCAACTTAATATAAAGAGTGTGACGTCTGTATTATTGTGCAGAAATCAAACAGTCTTCTGGAAACACCTTCACTGTAAAACATTGCTGATGTTTCAGCGAACACCAACGGGCCGGTCACTCACCGAGCCCCTGCAGAACGCCGAGTCGTCCCTTCTTGTGGTGGCCTCGTTGCTCTAAACAGGGCAGTCCACCAACCCTCGAAAAGCACAGTTTCTTGTTGATGAACAGGAAGAGGACGGCCAACGCCACGATGAAGACGCCTACCGCCGACAGGAAGCCGATGGCCTCGGGTGTGACTGGCAGGAGGAGGGAGAGGGAGAGGGGACATACAATGACACACTGATCAGACCACACAAACAGACAGTCTGGATACACACACACACATACACACACACAGTACACATGGTACATGTGATACACACAGACAGAACGAGCGCAGTTTTAGTATTTGAGTGACCAATTAAAGAGTAATCAGTGCAAAAACAGCTGCAGAACAATAAAGATCCAGCTGGTTCAACCAGCAGCTCAGCTGGATGGCAACATGTACACTTCCTGTTCAACACATGCACTTCCTGTCCAACACGTACACTTCCTGTCCAACATGTACACTTCCTGTTCAACACATACACTTCCTGTCCAACACATACAATTCCTGCCCAACACGTACACTTCCTGCCCAACACATACACTTCCTGTTCAACACGTACACTTCTTCTTCAACACATACACTTCCTCTTCAACACGTACACTTCCTGACCAACACGTACACTTCCTGCCCAACACATACACTTCCTGTCCAACACGTACACTTCCTGTTCATCATATACACTTCCTGT